TCTCTTTTGAAAAGTTACAGGTGCAGCGACAATAAAGTAATCTGACAAGCTACAAAAGTATACTACTAGAGTAGCATATAAATCTACAGCCTTGGTTTAGCTGATACATTGTAAGTATGGGGCAGAGCCAAACCTTTTATATTCCCCGAAGAATAACATGGCAGGAGGGTCCACCCAGCAGCTCCAGCTACTGAGCTGGCAGTGAGCCTGGGAGCTGCCCAGGGTACAAATCCTGGCCCTTCCACTGCCATTGATTTGAAAGCTGATCACTTCATAATTCTGGCATTCCTTCAGTAACAAGATTAAAAAGCACATACTTGCTTTTTGAAAGGTGTTCTAAAACATACAGATTAAACAAAAATTACAAACTTATTTTTTCTTTCCAAGTAGCTATATAGGTAATATCTATAAGAACCTCTGTTTCCCAAATGCAGACAGTGAGTCAAATGAAAAATAAAATAGCCCTAGATTGAGAAAAAGCAGCCACCTCGATTATTTGTTTACAGGTAAGCAGAAGCAGCAATAAATAGAAAGGCTGTATTTATATGAAGATACAGCTTTTGCAAGTGTTGCATCTGCTATTGCTGCTACAGAATGAAGAACAGAGCGGCCTATTTTCTACTTGAGTCAAGTATCCCACTATTCCCTGCGCTCCTGACTACCCAGCAGCGGTGTCTTTTCAGCTTGCTGACTCATGCAAACTTCCACCTGCAAGTGGACTGACATCCTGGTGAAGAAATACTCTGTGGTAACCTGGATTCAAAGACTGATTCTTTCAAAAAAGTAAAGCAAAATAACTCAGGCATACACAACAAACAGAATTTCCAAACCTCACTCATCCTAAAACTTGCCTCTCATATGAGGAGGAGATACAAGATGTGAAACAACTAAGCACAGCATCGTAGCTTAAAACGCAATCAAAGAGGCAGCAAGGAACGTAATGAGGAGAGGTAAGGCATGAAACAAAACTACATTTTCCTAACCATGACTGGAAAAGTTGCATTCTTTGCTTTACTAGACAGATGTGAATGTGTCCAAAATAACACTTAGCAAAAGTCAGCATGATGCTTTGAAGCAGTACACAAAAAAACTGTAACAGATTTTCCAGCTACATATAGAGCTAAAAACCTGATATTGATGACTGAATTGCAGTCATGAGGCTTATATCATGATTTCCCCCAAAGCCTGGTTTTAGTGTACATGAAATAAAGGAAAAGACATGAAATAAAGGACTTCTATAAATACCTATTTTCTACACCTTCTGGACTACAGAGGTATTAATGAAAGTTCTGTAAACCCAGGTGCCTAATTTAGCTAAATATATAACACAAGTAGTACTTCCAGACCTCATCAGACCATACAAACACTACTGAACTAAACAGAAGCTGCAGCTGCTCAAAATCTCTAAAAACATAATGATGCAGTGCATTCAAATGTAACACCAACATTGTTCAAATCTGACTATTTAAAAAAGAAAAAATCTTTTAACTTTCATAGAAACTAGTCAGCTCACTAGAAACATGCCCAAATGATATTCTACTCTAGGCTGAAAAAGCCAAACTAAGCTGTTACTTTGTCAAAAAACTGCTTTTATGCACAAGCCATTCACAGAGATCTAAGCAACACAACCACTTTTTCTGCAAGCATTTTATCAAACAGCTTGCCAAGCTCCATATAAACACATTTTACTATTTCATAAAATTCATATGCCAACTTTTTGAAACATGAAGTGACAAGTTCTCAGTGGAATTTCTGCAGAGCTACAAGGTTCTTATTGCCCTCAGCCTCCTGAGACTGTAAATTAACTACATGAAGCAAGAATCTTTCTTTTTTACACAGGAATGCCCTGCAAATTGGAAATACTGAAACAGTCTCTGCAATCAGCTAAAGAAAAATTCCTTCATTTTTGAGCCCTCCTGGGCTCAAAAGTCCCCAGTGATCAGCACACAATAAATATGCACCACTGCTAGATTTCTTTTGCTAATTTCTTTCATTAGGAACCCCTTAAATGTCATAACTAATGCTAAATATCCTCCAACTTGCAGATATACTTTAGCTAGGTGTTTACATAAGGAAGTCATCTCATATTAATAGTTATAGTTGTTTTCTAATTTTTTCCTAAATTGTTCACATCTTTCTTTCACCCAAGGATCTCAAGTTACACAAAAGGAACTATGAGTGAACTCACCAATGTCATAAAATGAAGACCAAGAAAAAAAGAGAAAAAATAGGCCACTTTCCAAGCTTCATGAAGTAAAGCCTCTGAGTATATAGTACAGTTGAATTTGTGCCATGTTATATTACACGTCAATCTATCTGACAGCACTGATACTTTGCACTTCCTTTTACCAGTTAGTTGTCTTACTGCTCAAGGTCTCCCTTTGATTATTCCCAGCTCTGACACATTAGCTATCTTTTTATCATATTTACTTTTGCTTTACTACCCATTTGCATTTGTCATATTATTGTAGGGATTTTGAAGACATATTCTTTATGGTGCTTTGTAGCAGCAATGTAATTCCTGTGACAGCTTTCCTTTGCAGATGATGGAAATGAAGAACGTCTTGTTTTAGCTTACATCAAATTTCTTTCTTTCATAAAACAGTAAACCCAAAGCTCTGCCTTTATTTATACTGTTCTTACAAGCAGCAATTTTAGGGTTACTGTATCAAAGAACAGCAACAAACATTTAACTAGCCTTTTTGGTGGTTTTATTAGCCCTTCCTTTCCTTATTACCGTTTTCTTCCTATCCCATTTATGTTTTAGATGCATATATATAAAAATTAATACTTAGGAAAAAGAAGCAACCATGATCACTTAACTCAAAAATACTGGAAGAGCCCAGTGGCAGCTGTAATACCTGGAAAAGCTTTGATATTTCAATTTAGCTATGCTCTAGTGTTCCTAAGGCTGCAGAGCAAGCTAATCAGAATCAGAGCTCATTTCCTGGTATTTAATCCTTTACTGGAATTAGTGTCTACCTTTCAGTTATTAATCACTTTCATACTACAACCTCCTAATTCAGAGTTTAAATTTCCAAGACACACATAAATGCCATTTATTCCTACAGAAAAATCCCTAGACTTCTCTACTAATCTAAAGCAGCAGTATTTCATTAACCACTTCAGAAATTTTAAGAGTTGTCATTTTTCCACATTCAGTCTCTTCTTTTTCAAAGTTTCAGTTGGCTATAATGAAAGCATTCTGATAGAAAGGAATCACCTCCAATTCACAGGCATATTTTACCCCACCTTACAGAATGTTTAGAACACTCTGCAAACACAGCCTATGCTCGTGCACCAGGCACACACCACAGTGAAAAAGTGCTCAATGGCTCTTCAGAAAGCAAAGGATTCCATCTGGAACCCACACCTGCACAAGAGCCCTGCTCAGGCCTCAGGACTGCTCCCCTTCAACAACTGCATACAATCCAAATTGCAACCCTAGCTTCCCACTGCCCTCTTAACTACAACACCATGAAAATGGCATCCCTGGAATACCTATCCCATGGTACCAGCTTTCCCCAGAGAAGAAAAGAAACCTTGCTTAGCCAACACACATGGGCTTAATGCCTAAAGGACCTCTCTGGATCAAGCCACCAGCCAAGTGTTTGGGGACAGGGACTCGTATCCTGCTCTCTCACGGGAAACTGATGGAAGCACAACTGTGCATAGGTACTGGGCAGCAGCCACCTGCTCTGCCTACAAGGAGCGTCCCGGACTGGCCATCAAGGCAAGCGTGCCCGGCACTGGCATCAGCGGGGTGCCTGGGGCTGGGGACACACCAGCGACCAACACACACCGCGGGAGCTTCCCGGGCCGCTCGGGAGGGAGCAGCCGGGGAGGGGCCGTCGGGAGCCAGGTGCTCCTCCCTACTCAATCCCCTGCAAGTAATCGGAACAGAACGTCAAATTACGAACGCGGTCACACAAAAGACGAAAGCGACGACCTGGAACACGGCGTGTAAAGCAAAGGCGACCCCAGGGCACAGCCCGCTGACACCGCAGCGCCAGGGATGGAGGGGGAAAGCGGGGCAGAAAGGGTGCATAGGTACTGGGCAGCAGCCACCTGCTCTGCCTACAAGGAGCGTCCCGGACTGGCCATCAAGGCAAGCGTGCCCGGCACTGGCATCAGCGGGGTGCCTGGGGCTGGGGACACACCAGCGACCAACACACACCGCGGGAGCTTCCCGGGCCGCTCGGGAGGGAGCAGCCGGGGAGGGGCCGTCGGGAGCCAGGTGCTCCTCCCTACTCAATCCCCTGCAAGTAATCGGAACAGAACGTCAAATTACGAACGCGGTCACACAAAAGACGAAAGCGACGACCTGGAACACGGCGTGTAAAGCAAAGGCGACCCCAGGGCACAGCCCGCTGACACGGCAGCGCCAGGGATGGCGGGGGGAAGCGGGGCAGAAAGGGACGAGCTTTAAGTTGAACGCTAGGTAGGACTGCTTACATAAAGGGCGATTAGACATTGGAAAGGGCTGCTCAGGGAGGCGGTGGTGTCCCCGTCCCTGGAGGTGTTTAAGGAAAGACTGGATGTGGCGCTTAGTGCCACGGTCTAGTTGAACATGCTGATGTTCGGTCATAGGGTGGACTCGATGATCTCAGAGGTTTTTTCCACCCTATCTGATTCCGTCGCTCCGAGCAGCCGGGCACCGATGCGCGGGGCCGGGGCACCGGGGCCCGATCCCGGCGCGGGGCGGGGGATACCGGGGCGGGCTCCGCGCTCCGGCCCCCGCGCTGCCAGAAACTTTCCGAGGATCCGAGGAGGGAGGGAGGGAAGGGGTTTGGAAGGGGGTTCTCGGCGCGGCCCTTACCCGTCCTTGCGGCGGGCCTTGTAGACGTGCCCGTAGGTGCCTCTGCCCACCTTGCATCCCTCGTACTCGAACAGGTCCTCCACCCGCTCGCGCTCGGCCGCCAGCTTCGACTTGAACTCGTAGTCCATGTCTCGCCCATGGGCGGGGAGGGACGGGCGGGCAGGGGGACGCGGCGGCCGGATCAGCACCCGCAGCTGGCGGAGCCCCCTCCCGGCGCCGCCATGTCCGGGGCTCGGCGGGGGCGGCGGGCGAGGGGGACGGTGGGGGGGGCGGTTTGTTTTTGTTTTGGTTTGGGGCTTTTCGGCGGGGGGGAGGGGGCGCGCTCCGCCGCCGCCACCCGCTTCAACTGGGCTCCTCGCGGGGCGGCGCGCGCGGTGCCGGGAGTCGTAGTGCGGCTGCGGGAGCCGGCCCCGCCGCCGCAGGCGGGACGCCGTCGCGGCAGAACTACAATTCCCGGCATGCCCCGGGTCGCCCTGGCCGGGCGGCGTCGGCGCACTGCCCTCTCCGGAGACACCGGAGCGTTTCGGCGGCCGCTGGGAACTTGCTGACTCTTCACATTGCGCGCAGAGGCGGGAGCGGCGAGCGCGGCCGGACGCGGTGCCTCTGGCTGGCAGGGAGCGAGGGACGGACGACCAGAAGAATAGACGGTGGACACGAACCCCATGCTGCGGGGCGCCGAACAGTGCAGCGACTTGTTTATCTCGCCAGCTGCCATTCACGGTCCGGACCCGCCTCCCTGTGGGATGCTGCCCTGTGATTGGCCAGTGCTGCCCCGCCGTGCGGCGGGCGGGGCAGGGCGGGGCCAGGCCGGCCCCAGGGCTGTGGCGCTGCGGGTCCATGTTGGGAGCGGGGCGGGTTGTGGGCTTCGTGCAGTCGGATGCTGCTAAATAAACCGATTACTTGCAGAAATGCGGGGCACATAGTGTGTTTGCGCTCACATACAAACCAGGCGTACTGCTGCGTCTTTAGGATCCGATGCCGTAGGAAGGCTGTGCCCCTTCAACCCCGAGGAGAGCGGTTTTTAGACAAACGCGGTGCTGCTTTGGGGTTCAGATTTCATCACAGTACTTTGAGGTCACAGAAACATTCAGGCCTTTTAATGTTATGTCTCGCTGTCTCGAAGATTCTTCTTTGGAGAAGCGTTGCTCAGCAGGCTTTCTTGCGTTATGGAAGTGCCAGGCAGAGGTGTCTGTAGGAAAAGTCACACAGAATTAATCGGGTTGGAAAAGGCCTCTGGTGTCAAACCCAGTCTATGACCAAACGCCACCATGTCAACTAGAGAACGTGGCTTCAAGTGCCGTGTCCATTCTTTCCCTAAATATCTCCAGAAATTGTGACTCCACCACCTCTCCAGGCAGTTCGTTCCAATGTCTAATGACTCCGTCTGTAAAGAAATTCTTGCTGATATCCAACATAAACCTCCCGTGGTGCAGCTTGAGATGATCTCCTCTCATCCTCTCGCCTGTTGCCTGGGAGAAGAGGCTGACCCACACCTACAGCTTCCTTTCAGGGAGTTGTAGGGAGTGTAAGGTCAACCTTGACCTGACCTTGTACTGCCTGCAGGTTACATCCCACTCTAGAAGCAAAGTCCCCACCTTGTGTGTTCAACCTTAGATTAGCAACAAGTGAATGAAGCAGAATTAAATTAGAGGAGGGGAGAGTAAAAATGGCATCTCTCCATACACAGAAACTATCTCAGTTCATCACCTGCTCTGCCAGCATTACCACAATGGAAAGTTTTTTCCACATGCTGGATGGGAGGGGTAGAAGAGCTGATGAGAAGCTGTCGTTGCTGACAAAGCACAGGGAGGTGTCAACTGCACGATAAGGTACGGTGCTATGTATGATTACTAGTGCATAGCTAAGTCATGAGGTCATAGCCAGAAGTTTGTTTCTCAAGGAAAGGCAGGAGTGTAACCATTTTGAGGTGATTATTTCTTCCAGAAGGCAATAGATGATTCAGAATTTCCCTTGGGACAGGTAGCTAGCAACTGAAATTCTCAGAAAACTTCATCACTCCTTTACCAAAGTAATATTTTCCAGAGAACTGCAAGTGCTTTGCTTTGCAGTTGCAGATGTGGATCTTTCTGAGCAAGGCCTGACCATGAGCTGGCTATTTTCCTGAACAGGAGAAAGAACACCATCGATCTTTCAGTGTCAACATGAAATACATTTACTAAAATTAGAGCTAACTATTTAAATTTTGCAAAGTGTTCACATCTTTGGTCACCTAGTAATCAAAACCAACGCTGAGAAGAAACGGACACAGACATAAAAAAGAAAACTTATCTGTAGAAGGTTATTTTACCCAGATTTATTCTGGCAGTTTTAACATCAATAGGAATATGGACTACTTTGCTGTTGGTAATAATAAACTCTTCAAGTAGTTCCCATTGCCCTCTTTGACCAAGAAAAATAGCCATTATTTCCCATTTTCACCACTAAGGCGTTTGTTTTTACTCTTTCCATTTTACAATGTACTGATGAGACTGTCTTTTATTTTAATTTGTCTTAAGTCCACAGTGCTGGTGAGGGAGGGCTAAGAGCACCCTCATTATGGTAACCTGGCACTAGTAAGCCAAGGCAGTATAATTTCACCTCCACCTTATACTGTACACAGCTCTCTAGTGTTACAAGCAGCCATTTTATCCTTTCTTCCATAAATTAATTGTGCTTTGCCAGTAAATATTTTGGCCCTCACTGCTGCTGCTGGGAGGCTGTCCGAGAGAAACCTCTCTAACAGCTGGAAGCCTTTTAAAAATGTCAAACCTACGTTTCCTTGTGACCAGTACCAGCTCCATCTTTTCTTCCTGTGCAAATACTGTCCTGAAGTAGCCTTTCCCGCTCTCCTGTGTGTACCCCTGCCAAAAGTATTTATAGACAGCAGTCTCATCCCCACACAGCCTTGATTTTGCTGGACTAATCAAGCCATGCTCTTCTCATTCCCCTCGTGAGCCCTGCCAGTGAAGGCTGGACCGGTACAAATCAGGTAGTGAAAAACACAGAACGGGATCTGTGCCCTGATCCCTTCTCTCGTGACTCAGCCCCACTTCTACTTTCTGAATCCGTATGTGGGCCACACAAAAGCCACTAAAAGTGCAGAACCAATTAAGCAGCTTCAAGCACAGGCCAGCTTAGAGGCTGCTAAGAATGGGGCTGCCATCCTGTTCTTGCAGAAGTTTTATTATGGTTGAAAGATGGAAATGGGCACATTTGTTTCTTCTTGAGATTGGAGTATACAGCAGGATTCTGTTTCAAGTTCATAAAGGTGGAAAAAACTGTGTGGGCACAGGCTGTCAGACGTGCTGGAAAACAGCTCCCTGGCATCTCCTCTCCAGGTGGTTCCCAGAGGAGAAGCAGCAGCCAGCAGCCATTTACAGAGCAGTGACAGCAAATTGTTTGAGAGAAAGAGACAGAAAAATACTGTGACGTTTCCATTGCTCTTCCAAGGTAGTGGAACAGTTGTGATACCAATAACACATATTTAATAGCATTCACGTTTTCTTTTAAAGTGTTTTAACAATTGTAGTATTCATTTCTGGTCAGAAGAGAAATGACTGTAACATTTTTAATTTGCAGTGCCATATCATTTGTTAATTGTGCTGATGCAGAAAGTTTGAGTAACCCTAGCAAAGAAAACAGAAAATTACGGGGCTGCAGATTGCAAACAGTACTTTTTTCAGCCTGCCAGCTTAAATGAAGATGCCACGTTGTCACTCATTAGAATCACCATGTCTTCCAAATCTCAAGTCACTGTGGTTAAGTTTCACTGGAGGTGAAAGATATATCAAGCAAGACTGAAAGCTGAGGAATTGAGTGTCCTCAGCAGATCTCTAAACACTTCTCCAACACAGATGAGTCATGAATTTCTAATGTAAAAAGGAAAAATTTGGTTTTTAACACTTCAATGTCAAGAAAGTGATACATGCAGAACTTTGTTCTTCTTTGTAGATTGCCTTGCACTTAAAATACACTCCTATTTTCTTTCCAGCATGTTTCATTCCTTGGCAATCTCTTAGAATTCTCTCTTCACTTGTTAGTGAGACTAAAAGATAGGTGGTGGGATTTTTTTATTTTTCTTGGCCACATTTGGAAGTTGCAGCACTTTTTCTTAATTTACTTTCTTTATACTTGTTAATCTAATGGAAAATTTTTGATTCATAGGAATCAAGATAGCATTTTTTCCAGTAGAACTTGAGTCGGATATTAATAAATACATGCACTCAGTGTTGACTTCTGTCTGTCACATTTAAAGCCAATGTTGCTTCACTTCAGAGTGGAAGGATCGCTCTCAGAATTCCAAGGGATACAAGCAGAGAAACCTTAGCATGAATAGAAATCTCATATGTACTGTATTATCATCTCTTCATAAGCAGAGGAAAAACTAACAGACCTGTTTCAGAATGTGTAGAGGTATACTTGGGATTTTTAAACATATTTGTGTCGGTGTGAAGAGCCTAATGAAAGTGGGACAGAATACCAGGAGATTTCTAATAGGGATAGATTAGAAAGTCCCCAAATGATTTATATCAACTCAAGTTCATATGTTGTGATTCTCAGTAAAACTCTGAATTTTGGAATCTTTTATGTCAATTACCTTCTAAATCTCTATAGTAAAAGTATTAACCTTATTATATTGGTTTAAAAAACAAAGTACATAACTAAGGGGCTCTATCACATTTTACAGTAAATCTAGAGAGCATGCTAGGAGTGAAAGAAGGGAATGCTGACTTCTGCATTCATGATATAATTCTTTGGCTAGCTCTGTTTTGTTGGGGGTTTTCTAATTCATTTTTATAGTATTATAATCCAAATAGTACTAAATGAGAAACCTTGTGCTGCTTTTCTTGAGCATAATCCAAGAACCTGGTCCCAGAATAGTCTGTACTGCTTTACTCCATGTTAAGAGAACCCTTGCAAAAGCTATTCCCTAGCTTCTCTTTACAGACTAGCAAGTATGAACACTTACTTGACAAAATCAAGGTAATTCAGAATTCAGCAAGTAAAAAACAGTGGGAGACAGCAAAGTAAAATAGTTTTTTATATGAAATAAAGTGGTTAAAGTGAGTGAATTAAAATGAAATAATTCTGTGTTGCTCACTGTGCTAGAGTTCATCATTATGCCTCTATACCTCAGCCTTATTGCTCAAGCAGTGTAACCACGTGTATATCTTTCTTAGGATATCCACTTACTCCCTGTGAATTGTGAAACAAGATGCACAAGCTTATTTCATTTGGGGAGCAGCATGCAATATTGTGGGCTGGCTTCAGTTTGACAGAAAAAAAAAAAAAAAAAAAAAAAAAAAAAGCCAGAGATTACTACTAACTAATGCCTTTGTGTTCACATTTGAGACTCAATATGACAGCTGGTTTAGAAGGCAAACCAATACCTCCAAAGCAGAGATTTAGGGAAAGCCTTGAATTCCAAAAATGTAGAAGTTGCCCATAATTACGGAGAAA